GGTCGGAAACCGGCACGAGCGCTTATCAGGTGCCTGATAAGGCGACTAGGCATGAGCTTGATACGGCAGACTGCAGGTGAGCAGTAGGCAGGTGCCTACAGTAGGAATGCCAGGCATAACCAGCCAAGCAAGCAACTCATCCGACATTGTATTGTCCGCGACACGCTGTTTGACCGCAACCGTCCCAAGATTGCAGCCAATTTGTAGCTCAATGCGGCCATAAACTGCCATGTGCCACACAAAGTAGTCGAACATGTTCATCATTTTTACCGCCAAAAGATCAATTAATTTGATCTACAAGATTATGCTTAACAATGGTTGCTGCAAAAAAGTCTCACTAATTAGCTAAGTGAGTTGGCAGTGCCACGGGCTTCGGGCCCAAGGCAGCTTAGTTCTGGGTTCGGATATCGGTTCCTGCCACTACTTTTTATCGGTATACAGTAGTCATAGTTCACCATTGTACTGTACCGGCTCACCCCTTGCTTTGCTGGATATGTTTATGGTTATAGTCAATGTTTCCTCACATAACTCCGTTACCTATCAGTTGACGGACAAAATGCAATGTTTAAAAGAGACCGCCAATCTATAAAAAATTGCTCCACATTACAAGGAAATAAATTGAAATGGGTTGGATATTAGTATTACCACTGACCATACACCTCTAGGTTTGTAGGTCGATGTAGAGGTGTATAGTCAATGGTATTACACATTATTTTGAACGGCTAAACACTTGTTATCAACGTAATATGACAAAAAAATCAACTCCTTTCTATTAATGTACACATTTGTTTGTAAATTAAGTAGATTTATAAACATTTGATTGGCATTGTAGCATAGTATTACAATAAAACCCACCAAAATTATTGTTATTTTCCTTTGTTTGGGGTATTTTTTATTTTTATTATATTTGTTGAAAACTTAAAGTAATTTTGGTATATTTTCAACCACATTCCTTGGGACAGCCCTTTTCATTATTGAATATACACATTGGTAGGGTATGAAGGCAATGTCCAGGCAAAATACAGTTGTTGCAACCCCAACAAAACCTCTAAATATTGTAATATTTTTGTCAAAACTTCTTTAACATTTTTACCCAACTAGACTGTGACGGCAGATAGAGAGTGCGACAGCTGGTTATACAGGAGGCATTGTTCCGTGACGACGACAAATGTAGATGGCAGTGGCTCTTCATCATCTGCACCAATGTCAATGTCGATTGGTCGACTACATTGTCACACCTACTCTAGATTGATTCATTCACCCGTCCAACGGTAATAGAGCCTAATGGCTGTAATGGGGTAGTCCTAAACTAGCAATATGGGGGAGTCAATTGGACAGTTCAGTGTTTAATATACTGCTCTTCCGCGGACATTTTCAATTCTCGCTGATAAAGGGTACAGTGTAATGCTTAAAACAGCATGAGTGTAATTTTCGAGCGCACAATATGTATTTAAAAAGTATTTTATTAAATATCGCATGGTTTCTAGAAATGGCTAATTTTGACGCTCACACTTGGTTATTGATAAAGTTTGCCAATAATTGAACACACGTGATCGACAGTTTGACGCGCAAACGTGGTTATCGATAAAGTTTGACAACTTATTGAACACACGTGATCATTTAGACAGATTGACGTGCAAACTTGGTTATTGATACAAAGTTTGACATCTCATTGAACACACGTGATCATTTAGACAGATTGACGCGTAAACTTGGTTATTGATACAAAGTTTGACATCTCATTGAACACACGTGATCATTTAGACAGATTGACGTGCAAACTTGGTTATTGATACAAAGTTTGACATCTCATTGAACACACGTTATCATTTAGACAGCGCGCAAACGTGGTTATCGATAAAGTTTGACAACTCATTGAACTCACGTGATCATTTAGACAGTTTGACGCACACGTGGCGGATGCTGGAGACGCACCGTTGGCCAACCTACTTGTGGAACCTCCTTCTGCCCCTCGGCACCTTGGACGACGCATCACATCAATACCATCAACATCAACAGGTCCCCTGACCCGCGGGCCATTCGCTGCCACTCTCTCCGCTTATCTGCTGATTATCCTCAGAGGAAACTGTTACTCGGGCGTTATAAGGAAGCTCTGATGGGGTACTGGGCTCGATTGTTTTGAACAGCCTCTTTATCTAAGGTTTTGATTTGGTTAAAACTTGCATTAAAAGTATACTCTCAATCGTCCTTGTTGTGAACTACATTAAGCTGTTACTGCTATGCTACTGTGGATTAATTTGTTTTCATCTGCACGTCATTTTTTAGTCTTTAGTGACAAACAATCAAAAGAGAATGATCTATAAATGACTATAAGTTACTCTTTCCTACTATTTTTAAGTTTTAATTAATGTGCCTTGTGTAGCTTTGTCACTCACTAAGGCAAGCTGTTATTTTTAAAAGGTCATAAAAAACGAAAGAGCAAAGACAGATGGGTCAAAATTTGAACCATCATTAAGCTACTGGCTTTTCTCAGGATGAATCCTGCTATCTTTTGTTTACTAGGGAAACACAACAACTTAACTAACAAATTATTAGACGGATAATTTATTGTTACAAATACTTTTAAATTCGCATTCACGGAAAAGGAAAAACAAGGCTCTTTATAAATCCATTGACATAGTGTGTATAGTCTGTATGATGGAACCTGTCTCATGCGTGTAGTAGCAGTTGCGCCGAGTAGCATTTGCGCCACGGATTAAATCGTGCTTCCAGCGCCGCGGAGTTTGATTTGTTCAATGATGCAGAAGTGACGAGGGTCATAATTACTTACACATTACTTGACTGAGTTGCTTGTAAATAGTGTCGTTTTCCATACTCCTAATTAACTTGTACTAGTAGTGCACTATTGCACATAAAAAATGATCAAACACTTGTATACCACCACATGCAGTATTGAGTTAGTATAGATATTTTTCCTGAACTATAATTATTATAACCTAAAAAGGGACTAAAAAGGCTTTTTACTACTGGTGATTAAAAACGTTATATAGTTTAGACCCATATGGTTTCGTCTTTTATTTGCTATCTAAAGGTTATACATCGAAGTGAAGGATCACGGGTTCATACATAAAACCCCATTATAAAAAGGTTTGTCATAATTACAGGTTATAAAAAAGGTAACCATGTAAATAAATCAATAACTTGAGGGTGGGGCAAGCCCAAAATGACACTTTTAGCTACCATTCGTCCCTCTGCTATATCATAAGATGTACAAGGACACCTACATCGAAAACATTGGTTAATCAAAACGGGTGACAAGTTATTTCACAAAAAACCGTATGGTATCAGGTACACAGTTTCATTGTATGATAACACTTAGCTAAACTAAACAGACAATACCCCCGCCGCAGCTAACCTGCCGACTAAGTGAATTTCAATTTGTCTGAATTGATTTTTAATTGAATGTATATAAATAAAATTAGGTTTAACGAGTACCTAGGTTAGCTGCTACAAGGAAACTATTAAAGTGGAGTTTTAGTAAAATATGAATAGCTTAGTATAAAATAAATAAATTTGCCAAGTTTGATCAAAATATATCCATAAACAAGCAAACTAAAATTACTAATGTTATCGCGTTCACGGACGTATATAAATCTATACAAAATGAAAAAGTAAATTGGTCACGGACCTAGGTCTTACGGTGCGGTGCCACCTACGGTAATAGCTACTTCCCTATAGGGAATTCGCTAAAAACATCCATTTTTTTTGCGAATTTAACATTTTGGTACATAAGACGTAAGTATCGTTAATTTATTTATATTGGACCTATATGTGTAGGTAAATAACAACAGGCTTCATTCCGATATCGGTGGTTCGTAAACTTAATCAAGGTGATTCAACCTTACACATTCATGCCAAATTTAATCAAAATCGTACGAGAAGCGATAAGCATAGGCCGGGAGCGCGCCCGAGTTCACGTGCAAACCTCGCACTGTCAAGTTAATGATTTTTTTTAAATATTCGTGGGAATGCATGGGGATTTGTAATGTTTATTGAGTTGTACAATAGTATTGAACATTTATATGGGCTTGTATAGGCCGAAGGCAGGGTCTTTAGAAAATGGCTTAAAACAACTCATCCATGTTATTCTAATGGAGAAAAAGTGCCTAAAGTGAGGTCATATTACTATGTTATATTTACTTTACATTTAATTGGTAAATAAATTAAAGAATTAGCTTTTTTAGCTTGATTTTGAATATACTATATGAGGATTATATGTAGGCAAATATCAGGATTTTTGGAATTAGTGGCTGAAAAATGATCCCAATGTTATTCTTATGGGAAAAAACGCCTAAAGTGAGGTATCTTTGTGGTTTTGCCACTACACGTTTTAGAGAGTTAATTTGTAAACTTAATATGTACTTGTATTTCTAGACTTAAGATAAACTGAAATTGATATAAGGCCTGTCTCAACTCCCAGGGTTCACGAAGCGCGATGTATTACTACCAAACCTGGTACAGTAACAAACTAATTTCTTTTCGTAATTTCCTCTCTGTTGAGTTATTGGTAATTAATTGGTTTTAGGTAGCCCTTATACTGAAACGGCGGAGTGTACTGTGTATTGTTGTCAACCAGTGAACGATATTTTTGGTGGCATCAATTTGCAGTTATTAGATTTAAAATTATGTGTAACCATTACCATGGGTCACGAGGTGACTGCGTGCAACCACTTTACGCTGAAAGTAAAATGTGGTAGGAACATAAGTCCTCAATAATCCTATTAGTGCAGTTGATTGGTTCCGCCATTGTTAACCTGTCAAAACTGCTAACCCTCATTTAATTAGCTGGCGCGGCGCTGGTGTTACGCGGCGCAAATACTACTCGGCGCAAATACTACTCAACCGTCTCATGGCCCTCCGTAAACCCAATGGTTCACGACCCGGTCCACACAAAGGTAGACAAAACGTAAGGAGACAGGATCCATCATACAGACTTAAGCAGACATAAAGCGTAAAATAAATGTAAACAGATGTATTACCTTCTCCTTGCAAGAGAGTAAGACTCCCTTCGGCTGCTAGAGGTGAACTTCATATCAGCAAACAGTATAGTCATGGAATCAGCTGATTCGGTGACACGTGACAATCACTTCCCCTCAGCTGGAACATTCCGGATCTGGTGAACACTGTCACTGGCACACACGTCACTTCGTCATCCGGATATTCACTTGATTTAATGTTCACTTGGTCAGGATATTCACTTGGTTCTGATAGAATATTCACGTGGTTTGGATTTCCTTGGTTCGGATATTCACTTGGTTCAGATATTAACTTGGTTTGGATATTCACTAGCTATTCACTGTTGGGCTATATGACAAGTAGTGCTGAAAACTATTATAAGGTTGAAGTGAAATCGTTACTTATGGGGTAAATAGACATACATTTATAAGTGTACTAATTATTATTACCTTCATGTTTTTATATGTTAACGAATTTTCCTCCGTCTAAGATATTTTGCATTGTCAACACAGGACTAATACCTAAAATATATTATGTCTCCATTCATTCCTTTCCATGTTAGTTACATTCTAATTAAAAATATCTCCAATTTTCAAACAATTTGCCTGCAGCGCAGATGAGGTCTACGAAATAAAGAAATGGACAACTAACGAAATTAATATACCTCGAGGAGCAAAACTTCATGGTGGGCCTATTTATAGTTTAGGAAATGTACAATTAATCATCGTTGGTTCAGCTAATTGTATTTCTATGGAGACAAACGAATTTCTAATCGAAATTATATAATACAGCGTTAGAAAAGATAATGATACACTCAAATAAACTTTTCATACTTTCACAGCGATTTCAATTTGTCTACGATGAAGTTTCTTCGAATGCAATCAACATGTTACACTCGAAAGAAAGTTATTTAAGATCTTCTTAAACTTTATAATTTTTATTATTACACTTTAGTAATCAGTTTTTAAAGTTCATTATGTTAACCAAAATCATTCCGAAATTCCTTGCAAAACTTTGTTGGTAATTACCAACCAGAAATATTCCGGTGGCTCGGAATCCCGTAACAACCGATTGTCAAGGGTGCGCCACACCCCCACGACAAGAGGTCTTTAGACAGGCAAGGGGAGAAGGGTGAACGGTATTAGAGGGAGGGTGTAATGGTACACCTGCAGACCGTTAGACGGATGAGAGTACAGGAGACTATATCAAGGTCATCAGTACTGATAACAACTGACTTGTGATAACGCGTGGTAAGGATCGAGTTGGTACACCTGCAGACCGTTAGATGGATGAGAGTACAGAAGACTATATCAAGGTCATCAGTACTGATAACAACTGACTTGTGATAACGTGTGGTAAGGATCGAGTTGGTACATCTGCAGACCGTTTAGACGGATGACAGTACAGGAGATTGTTTCAAGGTCATCACTACTGATAACAACTGACTTGTGATAACGTGTGGTAAGGATCGAGTTGGTACACCTGCAGACCGTTTAGACGGATGACAGTATAGGAGTCTGTTTCAAGGTCATCACTACTGATAACAACTGACTTGTGATATGTGCACTCTGCCTCGTGTAAGGAGTGAGAGTTGGTACACCTGCAGACCATTAGACGAATGATAGTACAGGAGTCTGTTTCAAGGTCATAAGTACTGATAACAACTGACTTGTGATTTGTGTACTCTGCGTCATGTAAGGAGTGAGTGTTGGTACACCTGCAGACCGTTAGACGGATGAGAGTACAGGAGACTGTTTCAAGGTCATAAGTACTGATAACAACTGACTTGTGATTTGTGTACTCTGCCTCATGTAAGGAGTGAGTGTTGGTACACCTGCAGACCGTTAGACGAATGATAGTACAGGAGTCTGTTTCAAGGTCATAAGTACTGATAACAACTGACTTGTGATTTGTGTACTCTGCCTCATGTAAGGAGTGAGAGCTGGTACAACTGCAGACCGTTAGACGGATGAGAGTACAGGAGACTGTTTCAAGGTCATCAGTACTGATAACAGGTGTCTTGTAAACAGGAGGATCACCCAAGGTCTTGCAAATATAGTTTGTATCATTCTAGTCATGTGGAATAGGACTGTTCCTTTTGCCTTTACTGTACCCCATAAATGGAAAATGATATGACCCCTTTTACAGAGTTAACAATGTATCTATTTTTAACAATCAAATGCAGAGGGGATTTAATTGTTGTGTAAATAATAAGAACAATTTTAAAAGTTTGGGAACATCTTTAGTCTATGCATGTTTAAATAATGCAATGTTTTGTAATTTGTAATTGGTACAAAACAGGTGTCTTTATGCCCTGGATGGATCGAAAAAGTATACATTAATAATTTAACCCATACGGTACTAAAACAATATTGCTATTTCTCTCAATATATTTCACAATCCAAGCTAAATCCCGAGATTTTATAGGGCGAACAAAAAGTTGAGATGTTAGAAACCCATTACAAAGTTAGATTGGTCGACGCCTTTGACGTAGATAAAGTTCTAGTTGGACAACAAAACAACAACAGTTTTGTTCCTTTAGTACAAAAAGTTAAGAGGCATTTATAGTAAAAGCTGATATAATTTATTATTAGTTAAAATAGTATCATCCCAAGGGAAACTACGATATTTCCTTAGGTATTTTAGGGCAAACAGCTTACCAGACCAGGATGTTCAAGAGGATCTAATTTTATGAAATTTGGTAACATATAATCGGTGTGATAACAATCAGCGAAAGTACATTGTGTTAGTCTCCAAAACAACTTGGCGATTAAATCCCAGTTTAAAATGCCCTCATCCCGTTTCTCTAACACGCTGCCTACTTTCACTTCCTTAAAATAATTCTGAGCGAATATTAAGTCGAAGTGATGTAAGAAATCATGAAAAGTCATCAATCGACAAAGCAAAGAATTTACAAGATCTAAACCCAATCGACCAATGTAATGCATCATCAGATATATTGATACATAGCTAAGGAGCCTACTAAATACTCTTTCTTCTAATACCCACATTAAATTTGGTATGTGGGTACTAATTTATGGTATCTTCAGGAATATTTTTCGCTTTTTGGAGGTTTTTATTAATTGAAATTTCCCATAAAATAACGGGAAAATCGGATTACCACAAAAACAGGTCAAACGATTTTGATTTAAATCGAGTGAGTTTCCTATTTGCCTATAAACGAAACAGTACAGCCTCATTGATGTAAAAATTACGGTTGAAAAGTTATTGCAAATTTTTTGATTTCCCCAATAAATCATAATTACTTCCATCGCTTATCCATGGGTGTTGACAAACTAATGGGAGAAAGTATGTGTCAGTTATTTGTGCAATAAATCGTTTACGGCGTAAGATAAAATACTTGACCAAAGGTAAACCATACGGAAATGGTCCAACAGAAACTGTAAGCGCTATTCTCTTCATGCAGATTAGTATGCACGTAGTCTTCCTACTTCACTGTGGCCCTGGTCCTACTTAAGTTTTATAGAAATTTGACAACAAATCGCCAACTCTCATTGACCCTTTTTTATACATTGAACTCTGATAAATCTGACCTAGTCTACTAACAAAACGGCACAAAAAAGCTTTTCAGTTTTTGACACTCGACGAAGTGTAGTGTCCAACCACATCACTAAATCGAAGGTCCAACTCCAACTGCATAACACAGGAGGTCCTCCGTACTCCCTTTCTCTTCCCCTAGGTAAAGTATGACGTCGGGTCGGGGTTAGATCAGATATCATTGTTCTTCAGTGTTACACGGCTGAACTTTCAGGCGACGTCGGTCCGTGTGTCGTAAATCAGATTTATCTCAATTTCAATTCGAACGCACAGAAACACGGGCGTGATGTCGTAAAGATAAGTGTATCTACCTTTCCGTGTCCGAGCGCTTCGATATCTTTATGAGGTGTTGAACACTCCGGAAAGTGCTCTTTGTTTTGGGTTTTAAAAGAGTTCATTTAGGGAAGAGCCATTAGGAGTCAGACATTTAAAAGTGTTTTAATGTTTTGTTTGTGAGTAGGGTTTCGTCAGTTTATTTTAGTCAATGTGTCTAGACCTTCTTTATTTTGTCATCTTTTATGCCACTATCCTATACAAGGGAACGGACCAAACCCTGGGCTGTTCAAATCTAATGGAAACCTTGAGACAACAACATTAATTGATAGCCAACATTAAATGACATCTGAGTCCAGGGTCGATCTAGCAATATTCAGATTAAAAGGCGAGCTCTAACTTGGCTACACAGCCAAAAGGAAACAGCTACACAGGTAACGTTAAGCCAAGCCAATCTGAGAGCACGACTTATTGTGAAATATAAAGCATCTTTTTTACGTCACATAAACTATCATCGAAGTACTGTATACAGGAGAAATTATAATCGTCACAGTTACACACTCTGGGATGGGCTGAGTAAACTATGTTCTATTTTGGTTAATGTAATAAAAATGTATTTACTTCGGAATCAAAATTCAACTAGTCCCCCCATATATAGTTCCCCTCATATTCAGCTTAAAATACGTACAAAAAGTATTTAACTAGACTAAAAATTGTAACTACGGATTATTTAATGACAACGACAATGAAAAACCATAGCGAGTAATGCACACTGTTTTGTTAATGCACAGAGGTTTATAGTAATTTAAATACAATTAGCAATCTAACTGAAAGTAATTCCACCAAAGGCTAACGCAAATAGCATAAACTGTGTACAAAGCCTTCACTTAACCACTCAACCTGTGAATGAAATTAATTGGCATAACCTTCTACCATCCACACAATTAGTAGAATCCCAGTGGCTGCCATAACAGGGGCCGTGTCAAGGTCATATACAATAGGAGTTTTCATCTGTCCAAACCTGTCAGGGGAAGCATGTAACCGTTAACAACGTTGCGACACACGCTGTACACTACAATACACAATATACAGTATAGCGGGCAGCCTATTGCAGCTTGCCGCAAAGCTAATGGCCTAGACCAGCCTGACAACTATCACCCGCTAACTGCTTACTGCTCAATGGCAAATCTTGCGAAACCAAATTGGCTGTGCGGTTTGATTTGGACAATTCTGAATAAGTTTGCAGGTGTTTCGATTTGGGATGTCCTAATCACTGGATTGCAAAACTTCATATCGAAGATGAGATGAATGCGTTTAGCGTGTATCTGTAGACCGGCCAATTATTCTTCTAGCAACTAATTTGGAGTTGTAACATTATTATGTTACTCGCTGGACCAATAACTCGTAAATAACAAAATCAATTACGTAAATTTTTTACAAGAGTCATATTGGTGTTTATGACTTTGATATCAATCAAAAAACCTTTTCGAAGCTAGATTTTAAAATCTAAAAATACTATTTCTGACGTAAAAGGCGTGTTA